TAAGTTTGCTTTCTTCAATAAGTAAACTTTTTGAAAAGATATTTTTGAATAGAATGATGCTTCACATCAATACGAACTCAATTTTTGCAGATGAGCAGTTTGGATTTCGCCATGAGCATTCAACTGCTCATCAACTCTTAAGAGTTACCAATTTAATTTGTTCAAACAAATCTGAAGGCCACTCAACTGGAGTTGCTCTTCTAGACATAGAAAAAGCATTCGACAGTTTTTGGCATGAAGGTTTGATTGCTAAATTGAAAAATTTTAATTATCCACTTTATATTATGAAATTAGTTCAAAATTATTTAACTGACTGAGCTCTGCAGGTAAATTATCAAAATACCAAATCTTATCGACTACCTGTTAGAGCAGGAGTTCCTCAGGGTAGCATTCTTGGGCCTATATTGTATAACATTTTCACTTCGGAACTCCCTGATTTGCCTCAGGGTTGCCACAAATCTTTGTTCGCTGATGACGCAGGCATTCCCGCTAAAGGAAGAAGTCTTCGTATTATTTGCAGCAGACTGCTGAAAAGTTTAGATCTTTTCTCTTCTTTTTAACAAAAATGGAAGATTTCTCCAAACGCTTCCAAAACTCTACTTATAATATTTCCACATAAGCCTAGAGCTTCCTTTCTGAAACCTAGTAGTAGTCACATAGTCACTATGAACGGAGTTCCAATTTCCTGGTCAAACCAAGTGAAATATTACATTGAGGGCATTCAAGCCAAATGTAACAAATATATAAAATGTTTGTTTCTTCTTATAAACAGGAAATCCAAACTTTGCCTGACGAATAAACTTCTAATATTTAAACAAGTTTTATACCGGCCATACTTTACGCTGTGCCAATATGGTCTAGTTGTTGCACTACCAGGAAAAAAGCACTTCAAAATTCTGAAGATGATTATGAAGTTGCCTCCCTGGTACAGTACTATCGAGGTACATAGAATTTCAAATGTTGAGACTTTAAAACAAATGTCCAACAAAATAATTAATACTTTCAGGCAAAAATCGTTGCAATCCTCAATGCAGTAATACAATGCAGTAAAAGCAGCGTAATGTCAGTTCACGCATTGTATTAATGATAATTTTGTCCTTTTTAGCAAGTAATATTACACCATGTTTTCGACATGATTGTAGTGCATCCACTTTGACGTGATATCAAAATTATTTTTTTGCTGTGTAACAATTAAGGCTGGTTAGTTACTGTAGTAACTGAAGCACTTAGGGCTAGGTTAAAATGAAATGTAATTTATTTTGAATTTGGAACAAATAAAGAGTTAAAAAAAACCTAAAATGTTACTTCGGTAGTTTCATTCCTTTTTTCGTACATTTTCCCATACAACGTTTGAAATTATCTCGCAAATCCTGATCATAACCAAATTTATAACAGATGTAATATAAAAATGTAAAAGGTATGATGGTGGTAAATGTACATGATGCCGATGAATGGGGGCAAAAGTATCTTGAATTTTCCCCTCTCAAATATTCATGACATTTACCACGAGGACACCAAAAGTATGTTCCGGATGTGGCCGATGGCTCTGGGTCAGGGCGTCACAATATCAGCTTCAATCGACCAAATCGATGCGACGAAGAGACTGCTGCCTTTCTTTTTCTGTTAATGTCGAACAGCTTCGCAGCATTCTAGAACCTCAGTCGGCGTGCACAAACAAATGTTCAATCGCTTGTCTCTCTTTCTCCCGTCGCTCCATTGGTCTTCCTTTCAAGCTTCGGTGAAACGGATGAGCGAAAGAGCGCACGACTTTGATAGTTTTCTTTTTCATGAAACACATCAACAGAGCTTTCATGGCGTATATGACGGAAAATGAAATAACATATTTAAAGCATTTCTCACGTGAAACCACTTGAAGATTACAAGTAATATGTTTAATTTATCTTCCATCCTCATATTTATCTAAAAAAAATTAACGAAAACGAGACGTAACGCATTTTAAACAAATTGAAATAGCGGTGATAGAGTGTTCGTGAAAGGGGATTGAAAGCCATAATGAGGTTTCGTTTAACTAGAAAATCGACACGACTTACATTGAAAGCGATGAGCAAAGCAACGACGAGAAGATCCACAGCCAGCGTTTCCTTCTAAGTGTGCTTCTTTTTCATTATCATTTCTTGCTGATAGTCTAGCTAGGCGTTATAGAAATGAAGCGTTGAACACTTTTGTATGTGAGAAATAAAACTCAAGTTCATTTTAGAGCTTCAAAATGTAGAGCCCTGCTCTGGGTACTCAAAAGGACCACCAGTTATCATGTTTTCAAATTTCCTTTGATTTTAACTTAAAAATCATATATTGCAGAGCTCTGCATTTTCCATATCGAATTTCAGAATCGAAATGTTCATAGACCATAGAGCAAAGGAGGCCTCGACATATGAAAATATCGAGCTATGGAGAGTACGATGTACGGAAAAACGCAGCGTCGGCCAAATTCATCGAGCTATACTGCCATTCTACGCATATCAGTCCCATGTTTCAAAAGTTGCCTCTGAGAAAATCGCGAATAATGTTTCGAATCATTTCTGCTCATTGGAAGAAATATACGTTAAAATAACTTACCGCATTGTTCAAATTTCGACAAAATCAATATGTTTTAGTGAAAACTACAGAAATTACGTTCAATGAAATCAGTTAAGCCTATTTTTATACGAACAATATTTAATGGGACTGTTATGCCTAGAAATTTGCAATGAAGTAGGATATTCTAAACGCATGTTAGTCCCACTAGGAACTGTTACTTTCAGTGTTGCTTTGATGGCCACGTTGCGTTTGACGTCTTTACTCTTGTGTTTGAATGAGCGTGCTTGCGTTCTCCGCGAAATTTTGGAAGATCCTGGATAGTTTGTATAGCTTTCCATCATTAAATTATACCAACAATAAATTTGTTGACATTGCTACTTCTATAAAACTAATAAAAGTATGGGCATTTCAAGATACTAATGATGAATGCACTATTTAAAACATAAACTTCTTAACATCTTGTACTACTCCTTAGTAAGATGAACGTAGGCCTAAAGGAGATTGTGCTTAATCATTTTGAGTCCAACCATAGATTTATGGCCGCTGACATGCTGTGGACAAAATATCAATAAGTTACACGATCATTGACCGTGGGCTTCGATGATTTCAAGAAATACTTTGGATGAGTTGACATGCACATCCAAATTTCTTCCGTACGGAGTTGACCTTTATGCTGCGTATTATCATATTATAAAAGGGACTTTTCATGAAACTCGTAGACACTAAAGGGGAGTGAGGGTGTACGTAAGTGTCTAATAATGCACACACTTAGAAAAATTCATGTAAATTTAGGTGCTCTGAGACTGATATATACGAGCGTCAATTTTGACAAAAATTTGAGTCATAACAGACGCAAAATATAGCTCAATCAAACGTACTTTTCGTCGAGCAACGAACTTTTCAGTCTCGGAGCACTTAATATTACATGATATGTTTGTTTACGTCTCATCTTTTATGTCGAAGATGGATTCCGTCACGTGTAAAATTAGTTATTTCTAAGTGTGCATTGTTGGAAATTAGAAACTGGTGTTTTAATATGAAATCCCGTTTTTCTTAATATTTATCAACATAAAATAAAACTTCTACTTCCTAAAATGGTTCATTCCGTTTCTTTTGACTATATAAATCCTGTTTCAATAATTTGTGTACACAAATCGATTCGTTAATGATAGATTCAGTCAAGAAAATCTTTGTGGGACAGTTATGCGTTGAATTTCATCATGGGACAATTAGGATTGATATTGTTTTTATACAAACCCAGAACAAATTATATGTTTTTGCTATTTTCATTCCAGAGTCTACCTAAAAAAGTATTGTTTTATGAACAAAAGTGAAAAACGTTCAAAAGTAACATGGGACAGATATGCGTAGAACGGCAGTATAGAAAATATCGAGTTACAGAGTCTTCTTCATCCTAGAATTGACGCCCATACTCCCAACTTGTACCTGTTCTCACTTAGTGTTCTTTACATCACTTCCTCAGTTATTAGTTGGGATCCTTCCATGCTAATCAATGCATGAGTTTTAATTTTGTGTGACATGCACAAGGATGCTCTATACCCAGGGAAACTGCAAAACTACACGTGTGTATATCTATTCCACATTCAAAATCGCTTGTCAACTCTGATGATAGCGATTTAATCAACTACAGAGCATCGAAAATCACCAAAATAAGTGCCCTCTTCAAAATGACCCAAAGCCACCGTTGTACAATCACTTAATTTTTCTCGAACGAACGACAATGTAGAGAGACCTGAACGCCCGTAAACAACGAACCCGCACTTATGCTTCGCACAGAATCCATAACAAGAAAACTGCAAACACCAAATGTGCTCCAGCCGGCTCTAAGCAATCCCATGCAGTCAACAAACGGCACATGCTCCACCGAGTAGCATAGTAAACACTGGTTGCTTTGCTTCGTGAGTGACTGACTGACTGACTGAATCCTTAGTAGACGTCGTCGTCGGTCGGTCGGTCGGTCGGTCGGTCGGTCGGTGGGGACTTTCGTTTTCGTTTTCATTCATCCACTCCTCGTCGTTGGTACCTATGCTGCTCTCTCGGACTCTCGGTTTCATTCATGACCGGTTTTTCCAGCAGCCTTAGATGAGTGACTTGAGTCCACTCTCCGCCTGGCAGTAGGGTGTTGATTCGACTTTGAAAATGGTCTGCGTGCTCGGAATTTCGAACGATTGAGTCGTTTCGCGCTCGCCTGGGTCGGGTTTTCTCGACTAGAATCTTGCAGCGCGGGCTTTCGCTTTCATTTGAAAGAGACTGAGCTCCCTCCCATCCGTTGGTGGGTGTTCATTCGGACTCGATTCGAAGTAAGTTTTCCGCGCGCGCACGCGCGCCTTGCCATCCAACCGGCGGTGGCGGGTGCTGCTCGCATTTGGTTTGGGCTACGCGTGGAGAGAAAAAGTTAATTTTGGTATAAAACGGACGATCTTCTTCAATTTATTAACAGTATCAAGACCAGCGTGGTCAAGAAGTGTAGTGTTTGCTTTAGTTTAGCTCAAAACTGCTGCGTCGACCACCTAAGATGAGGTCGTTAGCGCTATTGGTTAGTGTCTTTTGATTATCTTTTGCTGTTGTTTTGGGGGTTTCAGTGTTGGGACAATTTTGTCACAGAAAGTGGAATTTTGTGCAGAATGAAAGCATTCTAAGGACTTTGGTTACTAACGTGCTAATATAGTGATAAGAAGAAAGGAACTCTGATCCAGAACTAATACCAGTGCAATGCCAAGGGACTATTGTGCGACGGAAAAGTTGGAAATCGCATGGACGATTGATTGAGTGAAACAGTTGTGGAAATTCTAACTGAAGCAGAAAAGGCAGCAACCGTTGCAAATCAGTATTCAACAGAGGATACTTATCGTGGACAGTAACTAATTGCTGTAATTGGCTTTTCGTGTGAACGCCAAGGTGCAACTTCCATCGGAGGATGTTCTCAATGTCTCAATGTCCGCACTTGGACTTGTGCGGTCGTCATTGTGCATTGACCGTTGTGATCTTGAGAGGACTTTTATGCGCAAACAAGTTGCGTTTAAAGTGAATGGGAAAAATGCAATAAACAACGAGAATGATGCTAACAGTTGGTGACTTTCGTTCGGGAGTCGATTTTGGATTGTTTTGGAAAAGAGAGCATTACAGATCATGCAAATACAAATGGTTGTGCTCAGTGTTTTTAAATGCTAGATCGATGAGAAAAAATTGCTTTTGTGAGCAGTACTCTGTTGACACAAGTGTTGTTCGAATAGCATAAATCAACATCGCATAATATTGCAAAATTGTGGGCGTAAAAAGTGCTTCTGTGTGAAATTTGTACAAATTTTAAACGTATTCAATAATGTCACACTAATCATGAATTATCATAAACCCATGGAAGAGTACATGATGCATGTTTGACACAGTTTACTTAATTCCAAGGTAACCAAAAGAGCTGCTAATTTACCATTTGCCTTTATAGAGCTAAAATCTGGTAAATATAAGTCTAATAAGTTGAAAAATAGCAGTGTATAATATGTTTGAAAACGAAAGTTTGAATTGCGAACATGTTGTTTATTTTTGTATATTTCAAAACTGAGAGTTTGGGCAAATATAAACTATTCTTTGGTTATAGAGTCGACATTTAACCATTTTTTTTCAACAACCGGTCATTTTGGCACTTCCTTAAAGCCAGCAAAATGGTGCTTATAATGGGTTTTCAGAGCTCAACTTAGCTGAGAGCTTAGTTATATCAATTCAATCCAAGTAGCAGAGTAAGCACTCACCATTATCACTAACAAAGTTTGTGTAATCTTATTTAAACCTTGGTGAAAAACTCAATTGGGTGACACGCTCATATCAGCTTTGAAATCAGAAAGTCAACATTCCATAATTTAAAACATTCAAAATTATCGTGTACTCAGAACAATTATGAATTTCAGTCGGCACGATAAGAATCCCTCGTTTAATCTGAAATTGGCACAAGCAATGTAATTTTTAGCAAGCCTATAATCATTTTTATTGATTTACGCGAATTTTCTTCTTAATTAAGGAGACTTTCAGCCCTGGGCTGGTTCGTCTCCAGCTACGCGATATTTCATCTAGGCTTATATTAAATAACTTGCGTTACATGATTGTGCGCTATAAATCACAAAAGTTTGGATTAAATTTCCAATCGGTGTAGAACACGTCTAAAATTAAAATTAGAATTCGTTCTGTTCAATGATAATGCTGGAATTTCCTTGATATTGCTTTACCTAGCTCGATATTTTTTTTGTCGACAAATAACTATCAAGTTACATCGATCTGGTTTGAGCTGCATTTTTAAATGGGAACTCGTTTTGATTTGCTACTTGTCATATTTTTTATAGACCTCTTGGAACGGTCTTTTCCATTTTCTTCTACTCGGAAATGCCATTTATCAAATGTCAACATATTGAGGCTGTACAACGCAGTCTGAGTCAATCCCGGCTCTTAGAACTTTCAAGCTGTGTCTAACAACTTAAGGACATTTCGAGTAAGATAAATGAACATCAATTTAAGGGTGATGAGTCATTAGACCGAACGACATTTGATGGAATGCCATCATGCCAAACGCCTTTAAGCCAAACGCTTTTAGGCCAAATGCCATTCTGCTTAAAAGCTTTTGAACGAGTAGTCTTCGGCATAATAACCCATTCTGCCTAGAGGTCCCACACCGTTTTAAGTAAGCAACTTGCAGTCTTTATAGCGCCCTCATTGAACAGAGCTAAGGTAGCCCTAGTAGACATTTGTCGCAGAATGGTTGTAAAAACTTTTATGAGACTTTATTCAGTCGCTATCCTGTCGCAGCAACTATGTTTTATGGATACGTTCTACATGAGAAATAACAACTGACTGACCAGTGAGCCTCTCGTTCTTATTCAGTGAATATGTGGACCTAAAAGTCCTGCCCAATGTTAGCAATGATTGCAACTGCCCTAATCCCATTTGTGCGTGACGGATTTGTTTTTTTTTTTGTTATTCAAATTTTGTTTAACCCGGGGATATTCAGGCACCCCATAAGACACACAAATCAGCTCATAAGCATGGAGTGGTAGAGGAATACTTTCTCAACCAGACGTAGGCGTGGCTGAACCTAGGGTTGCGATGTGTCAAGGTTTGAACCCATTGGTTATACTTGGAATAATGTTCCAGTCCATCTGGGTGTCGAGTTTTGTTCCTTAAGTCGTTTAGAATTAATTGAAAATTTGCTCTATTCATTGAAGCAATGTCACAATTTGACACATTGAAAAAAACAAACCCATTCAAAGTGAGCAGGTAGTTTGACATCTCGATGCGATGCCGTATTTTGTTTCGCAGCGTAGACTGAGTGCGATTAGCTTTCCTATCTTCACCGTTCGTATATCACGGCAAATGACAAGGTAAAGAAAGAGCAAGAAAACGCCCCAAGTAACCAACAAGCCCGCTAATTCGCCTTTTAGCAATATAAGGCTAATATAAAGCTTAGCATGCCCTATGTTAGCCGTGCATCAGCCTTATATTGCAAAAAGGCAAATTAGCGGGCTTGTTGGTTACTTGGGACATTTGGTCACTCACGGAGAGGTAATTCGCACCGCTTGCCTTCGCTCTCTTTTTCCGAGACCAACAGTCACACAGTTAATATATTCACTACGTACTAGAATGAATAAGCTATGGAGATGGGAATTTTCATTTAATCTGAGACATTGAATGCTCAATTGTTCAAATTACTACCAATTGTCAAAATTGATTGGTTACAGATGTCATACACGCAATTGGACAGCAACCAAATAAAGTCCAGCGTTTATCCAAAGGTCATTCATAGAGCCTCCGAGAGAGAATTAACTTGCGTGCGATTTTGGTAAACAAATCTCTCACATGAGATTCTCATACTCACCACAACAAAAATACGCTCCAGCATAAAATTCATAAAAATCACTCAAACTTCAAATTATATAATGCTCATTCATGTTGTGTTAGCTTTCCACCCCCTTTTTGAATGGCAAATGCTCATATGTGAATCAACTCAAGCATGAGATTTTAGTTTTTGAGTTGTTTCGAACACTGCTTTCTGTCCATTGCAGACTCTCTTGAATCAACCTTGCAGCGAGATCAACTCAAGGGGGGAGGTGGCTGTCAAATACGAACAATCGTCGCCTACCTCGCATAACTCCAAACGTAAACAAGCCATTAGAAACCTACAGAGTTTGTTTACGTTTGGAACCAATTTCATACAAGAATGATCAGTAGGCTGATTTGATAGCACGTCCTGCCCCAGGTTCAACTCATGAACGAGTACACCGATGAATTTGAGTTCATGCACTGACAGGAGACCGGGGTAATTTTTACACTGAATGTTCGTTAGTCATTATTCATGAACATTTAGTGTTTATTTTTAGTAAACATTGCCCCGCTCTCCAGTCAAATTTTTATCAGTGCATGAACTCAAATCCATCGATGCACTCATCCACAGACGAGTGCACCGATGAATTCGAGTTAATGCACTGAATAAAATTTGAGAGGAGGGGTAACTTCAAGAATTTTTAAAGGGGTTTTTGTAAATAAATGTTCAAACGTCAATTTGACGAAACTTTGAGCACGCTCACGCAAACTAACACTACCATAAGTTAGAGGAAAGTTTCCCTATCATGAGGGGGCTTTTAGGTTGCGTGAGTAAGCTAAGAGTTTCAACAAGTTTTCGTCTGGATATTTGTTTGCAAAAGCAGTTTTGTTGAAAATTCAGCCTTCATTTCAAGTTCATTATTCATTATTCATGTACATTACATCAAATATATTATATTAACAATATGATCCACTCTTTCGCTTAGCTGGCGAACCGAATTTTTAGCGATGAAAGCACCTCTGTGGCCAAAAAAGGCTACCAATGCATTTGTTTATCTTCACGAGGGGTAAACCAAATGAAAATGTGTTTAATATTTCAAAGAAATGTATTTCAGTATTTTATTTTATTTGATGACAACAGTGACATGTCAGATAAATTTTAAAGCAATATACACAATGTAATTAATGAAAATAATTTGACTCTTACTTTTGTAATAAGTGCTATATTCGCACCCCTTGATTGTAATTGATTGATTGTTGCTGACCTTTTTCAACGCTAGATGGTGCGTGAAGCAATATTTTGCGGGTATTGTCATATTGTTCATCATATTGTTAATATGATATATTTGATTACATGGTAATTTTTAATAAGCAACAAGGCTCCGCTCTCCTGCCAAATCTCTGTATTCAGTGCCGGAGCTCGAATACACCGGTGCACTCATCGTCCATTACGCGATGATGCACAGCGCGTTAAATGTATTGGGTTTTAGTTTTAGGTTTAGTGGAGGATTTAGTCATTTTTACCCTTAGATGTAATGGGAAGCAAACTTGAGCAATTCCGGTTAATCAGTATTATGAACCAGCACTAGTGTAAACCAGCCATTAAGCAGATCTAGCAAAAACTTGGGACCGATAAGCGATATTTGGGCTTAGATTGGCTTTGATTGGATGTCTTGATTGAACAATAATTGGATAACAAAGAATTTGGTTTTAACCAGTGAATCCGAACTTTTT